TCAATAAACTCTTCATGTACTCTATCGCTCCACGCTTGGTATATTGATGATGGAATCTTGAGTGGTCCCTGTAGTGAAATCGCCAAAGCAGTCAACATAATTAAAGAAATGGGCACAGCCATTGGACTTTCGCTTAACCAGAGCAAATCTGAATTCTCACATTTAAATTCTAATGCTCCCAACACTCACGATTTCAAATTCACATCAAGCGTTGAATTAACACATCTAGGATCGCCTGTAGGAGGACACGAGTCAATAAGCACCTTTCTTCATTCCACACTTGACATACTCCTTAAACTGGAGGACATCTTTACACTTCTACCATCACACAAGTCCTTTTTTTTGCTAAAAATTTCTTTTTTATACCAAGGATTCTTTACGCACTTCGGTCAACACCAATTTTTAAATATCCTATTCCTCTCCAAACTTACGAAAAAGGAATAAAGGACTTAACCGAAAAAATAGTAAATATCAGATTCAACGAAACCGCTTGGGCCCAAGCAACTCTTCCAACCAAATTTGGTGGTCTCGGCATCAGATCTCCACATGACTTAGCAATAACTACTTTCATATCGAGTAGTCTCTTGACAAAGCCAATAACCACCGCCCATAATTCTAAAGAAGACCTTTCCTTAATCGTGGCTATGGATATTTGGAAAACAAGGATCAATGCTGATTCTCATCCCCCCACAACCCATAGACAGAAAGACTGGGATGCACCAGTGGTTGCTCGCTGCGTTGAAACTCTCTTATCTAGCATGCAATCTACCGACCGCACCCTATTCTCTTCCCTGCTCAATGGTACGGGACATGAGTTTCTTGAGGCCATCCCATCTACCAATCTTCAGCTTCAACTATCCAACAATGAATTTACCCATGCCATCGGCATTCGTCTAAATTGTTCCATCACTCACCCTCACATCTGCTCAGGGTGCAACTCGCCAGTTGACTCGAAGGGTAGACATAGTTTACATTGTCGCTCCTGCAATGGACGATTCATCAGACACAAGCAATGTAATACAATCATCCAACATGCACTGAAATCCGCCCAAATTCCTTCCACTCTAGAACCACGGGGTCTTTTTAGATCTGACGGTAAACGTCCTGACGGGATCTCTCAAATTCCATGGAGGAGAGGCCAACTTTTGGTATGGGGCTATTCCTGTATTGACCCCTTGGCCCCATCCAACCACGCCATCAACATCCTTGACCAGAAGGAACAACTTAAAAATTCTAAATACACAGAAATAATGAACGATCATTGCTTCATCCCAATCATACCATTCTTGGCACCTTCGGCAAACTCGCCTTAGCATTTTTCAAAAACTTAGGATCACAAATCAGCAAACTCTCATAAAAACATCGAGAGGGTTTTTTTCTTCGTCAACGATTATCCATCGCGATTCTCAAAGCTAATTATATCAGTTTCAATGGTAATCTTCTAGCCAAAGAGCTATCCTAGACAACACTTACGTCCCTTTTTCATTTTTGTTTCCCTGCGTCACACCATCTCCGTTCTTTTTTTTAATAGTATTATTATATATTTTTCAAACATTTTTAAATATATTAAAACATAAAATATTATATTTTCGTTTTTTTTAATACTTTATATTATTTATTATTTGAAAATTGAAAATAAAGGATTTGTTTATTTAAAAAAAAAAAAATTTAAAATTCAAATCAAATCAAATTTTGCTTAAAATTTGGGCGTGAAAATCATTAATTAATTGTAACAAAAATGATATTACTTAACTTACATTGAGCCTATTTTTTTATTAAAAGAAAGATATCAAATAAATACTCATCATTATTTTCATAATATAATATAAAATAAAAAATATTAAATTATATCATTTCTTTTTAAATATAAATAAAATAAATTATTTTACTAAAAATAAATAAATAATAATTAATGCTTGTGTAATTTCTATTCACGACCGACTCAAGTTGGAAGTCTAAATTAAAAAAAAAATTGTATTGTTAATTAATAATAAAAAAAACTAATTTGAAATCAAGACTCTAGTTCACGACTTGATTTATGACTTGAGTTCACGACTTGAGTCGACTTGAGTTCACGACTCGAGTTCATAACTCAAGTCAGTTTGGATCGATTTTTTCGACCCAAAACTTAGACTCAGTTTTCAACTAAGTCGACTCGACTCAGTCGTTTGACAACACTATGTGTGCTAAATCTAATCAAATTGTGTAATTTTCAAGAAAGTTATTAAATGTTAACTTTAGGCTTCCATGTTTCTATTTGCATGGATCTAAACCATAACTAAATCGGTCTGGTTAGTAATATATTATTTGAATTTGAACCTCTAAAAATCGGTTCGATCCTTTATACAAACTTATTAGAATTGTAAAAAGAATTTATTTTTTACAATTAATCACTATTCAATAAAAAAAAATATTCCGCCGGAATAAACTAAAATATTTTTAAAATTCTTTTATCTCAAATTATATCTATAGAACACTTCTATATGTTATTAGGTAGCTGGCACTGTCAAACAGTAGTATCTAGATATTTTTTTTTATCATATTGATATCTCACTTTTGAATCTGGTGTGCATCGCTTAAAATGAATCCTGACAGCTCCTTCCTTACACATGCTTCCATTATTTTGAGGATACGGTTTAGAGCACGATGAGATCCAAATTTGAGTATATATGACGCCGCTTATACAGGGACTAAAACATTTTAATTGAGGCTTTTCAGATATTTCAGAAATTTTGAACTGTTTAAGATCTCGAATATCTTTTTCAGAATGCAACTTTAATGGAATAGATTTTTAATTCCCATATTTTTCATCTATAATCTTTAAGTTAGATGCCGATATATTGATATTCGCTAAGACCCAAACTAAAGAATATAATATATAGCGAATTTTATAGTCAATAAAGAAAATAGTTCCTAAGATTTAATAAAAGTTCTAGAGAAATTTCATAATAAAAATAATTTTTTTTAAAATTTGGAACGATTTTCGATATCAAGATGTATTCCAGATTTATGTATCAAAATATCTAAAAGAAATTATCTTGGGCAAATAAAATAAAAAATTAATCCATGCCAGTTATTAATGCCAGCATTACTGAATATTTTTATTAGAATATAAAAGTAAATTCAATCAGAAGTAATATATAGAAATCCTAACATTACACGTCAGTAACAAATGTCAGTATTACTAAATATAATTATAAATATTTGTTAGAAATGTAATGTCAATCATAAATTTTGGACTACTTTTACTGAAGTATAGAATTTAAAAATTAAAATAAAATATCAAACTAAATAGTATGTAAAATCAGCCGCAGCAACAATCTCAGATGGCTCATATTTTATTTAGCGAACATTTTCTTAAATTATCTTCATTTTTTTAGCTTTTTTTAGTTATATAAAAAAAATTCAAAATTTGGAGGGGGTTCTCCATGCACTCACCCCCCCCCCTTCTAATAACTACTGTATCTACTAAATATGTGTTTCTGGATTCTAAAAAATAATCTAAAAATATTACATTATATAAGAAAAATATCATGAATCGATACTATAATGTATAAGTGAAACCCTTATTATTTTACCCTAACACATATTTTATAATTAATACATATATAAATAAATATTAATGGTCATAGGCGTAGCCAGGATTTTCCTAAGGGGGTGGGGATAGTAAAATTACTTAGGCTTGGCTCCCAAACCCCATTTGGGGCAGACCTTTGGCCCTCTTTTACCCGGCCTTCAGGCGGATTACTTTTACAAGATAGGAGATTAATTTTAATAAAAAATATAAACCTGCAAAAATATGAAATATATTTTTATTAGTTTATATAAAATATTTACTTGTATTTACATTAATATAAAAGCATGGTAATAATTTATTCCAAACAAGTATAAGAAATTTATTTATAAAAAGTAAGTAGACATATAGTTGATATTCCTCTATTATATAGAATTAGTTACAAAATACTAGGTAAAATTCTACTTTTATAGACATATTTGACAGTTAGAGAATATATTACAGTTAATAATTTAACAAATTTTACTAATCAATGCTCTTGATAATAAATATAGCAACAATTTGCATTCAATTATTTAACGCCATCTCTTTATTTTAAATAGAAAATGATATTAAAAATTAATCTTCATATTATTCATCCGTCATTAAAAGATATTTCCATATGTCCTTATCAATATTTTATAGTTTTCTGTAAAATATATAATTCGCTATATTGGTAAAAATTACTTGATTGTCATATGATAATTGATAAAATTAGATATACTGTAAATCTACGACATATAATATTCAACTGTTTGTATTGTGCTTTAATTATTTTTATTTAATTTATGATTTAATTTTATCAATAGTTTTATAATTATATTTTACTTTTATTAAGATAAATATATTAAAATTACTCACTTTATAAAAAATTATATTTGATATATTATATTATTTAGTAATTTTATGGATCTATTATTAATAATTATAATACATTTCACTTTTGTCTTCAGATATCTTTGGCTTATATTCCATTTCTTAAAATCATTTTTGGTTCACTTTTTATATATAAAAATGCTTATTTCCAAAAATGTATAAATTATGATGAATAGTTTTATAAAAAAATAACTTTTACATTCTTTCTTTCAAATTATTGTTTAAGATATACGCATACATTTTTGGGGGTCAGGGAGAGGGGGGAGGATTAAGGGGGTATTTTTATTAGGTTAAAATGATATTCACAAAGAGTGATAAATTTCTGAAAAGCGGGATCCCCCCCCCCCCCCTCTTGACTACGCCTATGTTATTGGCCCATAATATAAGGGACATTTAAAAAATATATTAAACCGCTGCTTTATAAAAAAATATTATGTTATATCTTTTGTTGCAATTTATAATCGTTTTTAAATCGAAATAAAATAATACAAAAAAAATGATTTCGATATTTTGCTGCGATCAAATAATTTTTTATGAAAATCTTATTGATTTTTCTTTCAAGTTTTTAACTACAATTTAAGTTATTATGTCTAACCATGACATAAAATCTAAAAATTATATGCAAATACCAGCAGACTTTTCTTCGTCATTTAATAAAAGTTATTTTAATAATATTGAAGCTAATGATATAGAAAATTACGTGATGCCTTCATATTTACAAAACATATCACAAATGACTGTAGCAGATGTCTATGAATCAGCAGCCGATATTGGAAAAGAATTTGAAAGATTAATAGATGTTTTTGGGACAAACGAATTTGTTAATTTTATGCCTAAAGTAGTTAAAGTATTGGAAGAATTAGAAGCATTAGCTGAAAGAAATGAACAAGATAATTTAGAGATATCAAACCTTACATATGCAGTAGAAAAACTTGAAACTGAAAAGACTGAGAGAAAATGGGAAAAATTGAAATATGAAAAAGTAAAATATTTTATGCACATAATTAAACCACAAACCTTTTATTAGGTATAGGTAGTGTTGTTAAACGTCTCATATTGAGCTGATTTTTAAAAACAGCTATTTCAATATTTTAGTCAGAAAAATATTGACTAAGCCTCAAAATTTCGATAATATATGCCTAGACATTTGTCCCGTCTATGAACAAAATCTTCAGGTTTGTGTTATATTTTTCTGGATGAAATATTGAGTTAGCCATTTTTAAAAATCGGCTCAAAACAAGCCATTTAACAACACTAGGTATAGTTATAAAATTATTTTATAATAATTATAATTAATTGAATAATTTTTATAATATTTTACAAGTTTGTTAAATATTTTACAAGTTTGTTAAATATTTTCTAACAATTAATAAAATGGTTTGAAATAGAAATAGGAAATATGAGATGAATGTTCAATGCTACACAAGAAATAAAAAAAAATTTGTAGGCCTAGCCTGAGATTTTTGAATTTTTTTTAGGCCCAGTTCAAGTTTATTTAAAAAATTTTTTTATGACCTAACCTGTGTACCTCCAGCTTAATGTCAAGACTGTGGATCTCTGATAAAAATAATTATAATCAATCAACAAATTGGCATATTAGCAATACATGATTGTAAGTGCATCAACCTTTTCACTATGTGAAATATCAGAGCTGCACTTAGACTCTTAAATCCCAATTAATTGGGATTAGAAATTAGGTCTAACCTAATAGAGAAACTTATTCACAAGTTTTTAATCTGGCTACAGTTACTTTTGCACACAAGAGGCAACACTACTTTCTTAAGTGCCCATGGGAAGCCTATTTAAATAAAGTGATTATTCTGGAAAGATCTTGATAAGGTTAAAATTAACTTCTATTATTATTGTAAATGTGGAAAGAAACTTGAAACAAAAGATTGAATTAAATAATTATAATAATAAGAATAAAAACAATGAATAAACAATTAATTTTATCACATTTCAAGTGCATGGATGCCATTTTTAGAAATCAAATTCTAAAATCTTTCTAATTTTTTCAAACATTGTCTATTTTAAGAGCATGACTAAAATGCCCCTGAAAACTGCGCGCCCATGAAAACTGCGCGCCCATGAAAACTGCACTTCCCTATCAAAGAAGCTTAATTTAAATTATATTAATACAGAATCGTATTTAGCTTCATAAAATGAGTTAGAAAATGTTTTTTTTGATTTAAAAAAAATGGCAACATAGTAAATTTTTTAAAAAAATTTAGTCAAAAAAGAAGAAATTAAGTGTATTTTAAAAATCTCAATAAGTTAGAAATAATTTATAAACTTAGTATTAACATTTTTTGATTCCTTTTAATAAGTTATATATGATTCTGCATTCATTTTTTAAAATAATTTTTTACTATGTTGCCATTTTTTTTTAAATAAAAAAAAATATTTTCTAACTCATCTTATGAAGCTAAATACGATTCTGTATTAATATAATTTAAATTAAGCTTTTTTGATAGGGGGCACGTAGTTTTTTGGAGTGCGTATTTTAGTCATGCCTCTATTTTAATAATGAATTTTAAAGCATTCATAATAGCAATAATTAACTTACAAATATTGCCTCCATTTTCTTGCTCTCCTGAAGAATTAAAGATAAATTTTATGAGCTGATGTTATTGAATGTTCGTCAACTAATATATTTCCAAGAAATTATTGAATTTATAAAATATTGATTATCAGATTAGTTTTAAAATAATAAACATTATTAATAGTAAAATAATTCCATTTTTGGATTAGGCAAATATTTAATATCATGTAAGAATGAATTCCTTACTTATTTATTTACTTAGAAAAGCTTTACCACTATTGGTATATATTTAATTATAATACAGTTTGTTTTAACTAAATCCAAAATTATTTTTTTCATATAATTTACAACCAGCTCAAAATTTCCTTAAGATCTTTTTCTAGAATTACTAGAAATTTTAGTCCTTAAATTCATGACCAATTCTCATGAAATTTTTTTTTGTGAATTCCTATGACTATTAGTCAATTATATAATCACATATCTTGTATTAATGGTTTTGCTCCAATTTTGAAATTATGATGAAAAGCAATTTATTCATAATAATGGTTATTATATTTAATTAAGGAAATATTTAATTTTAACTAATAAATTTTTATTTTGCTGCATAAACTAATAAATAATATTTTGATTAAGTTAGTGTTTTTATAAAATTTAAAATGAATAAAAACTTTCAGATAGTAAATCCTAACAATTATAAAAAATACCTTATCAAACTGTTTTTCAATTATCAAAAATATATACCAATTAAAATTGGGAAATTTTCCTGTAAAATTGTTATAAATAAATAGTTAGAAAATTTATTCATGAATATTACATATTTTATCTATTTACAATGTCATAATTTAAAAATGAATTGTATAATCGATATTTTAAATAAAAATTAATAATTTATTTTATTAGGAATATATGAATAATTTATTCATTTAATAACAGTTCATAAACTTATCTTTATTGTTTTACCTTTTTTTTGCAATTTCTTAGGAGAGGCAGAAAATAGAGAGATTATAAGAAAATTGTAGGAGGAAGTTATGGGAAAGAAGAGGTGATTTCTAAAAAAAAATATTTTTTTTCCTAAAAATAGAATATCTAAACCTGAGAAAGAAAACTAAAATTTATAATGAGTAAATAACTTTAATTTGCTTACCAAATTTTATCAAAATAGGAGGGTGTTGGCTGAAACGTTATTGGGATATTACATTATCTTAATATATTATTGATAAAATCCTGGCTGGCAGTGGCTGTCAGCATATAGCCAGCTAAAAAACTGCAAAATTTATTAAATTTATGGCTAGGCACTAAAAATCAATACCCCGATTTTTTTTTAAAATAGTGATTTAAATCAATATTTGTAATAAAATCCTATTTACTAAATTTGATCAAAATGCGTAATATAAAGAAAGACAAAATATTATTTTAGAATTAAATCATTTTTATAAAAAGAATACGATGTTAAAATTTAGATTGATTTTTTATGCCTAACTTTAACATATTTAAATTTAATTGTTTAAAAGAAAACTAGTTTTCCTAAACTATCTAAATTTGGAATACACTTCATATGATGAAAATACTCTATTGAATCTGTTGATTTGTTACTATGAATTAAATGGTCCTGCTAACCATCATTCATTTATTTTCATCAGAAAACATAATTTTATAACCAGGTCAGCTGTAGCTTGGAATTTTACCATGATTGATAGATAAGAAATTGGTTGAAGATATTAAATTAGGCAAGTTTTCCATTGCCACTTTGGTTTCATTGTTTGTTAAATTTGATAGAAGTTTGAATAAGAAATGTGTCGGTGAAACTATTATAAATAATAATGTTGATTTTCAGGATGGTGGGTTATAAAAGCAACCATATAATAATTAAATAGTAAACTAATCTAATTTAGATATAATTACTCTTTTTTTAAAATTTTGTCAAATAACCAAATATTTTATAAATGATTATATTGCTTATTTGATTTTTGTAATATTTTGTTATTTATCTTTAGAAAAAAGGTTAATTAAACCATATTTATCATAATATAATTTAAAAAATAGCCTCTATCGAAAACGGAAGAGTTTAAAAAAATGTTATTTTTTGGGACATACTAAACAATTGCCACAAAACTAATATAATCAAGATTATTTTAAATTAAGGGTATTAAGGAATATTTAAATTTGGCTAATGCATCAGGACCCAATTAGGAAATAACATTAGCCAAAATTAAAAATAATAAAATCATATTATTTTATTAGTCAAAAAAACAATATTTTAAATTTGGTTTAACATTTTTGTTTGAGGATATTTATATTAGCATTCGTTAGGAAATGAATGATTTTCTTTACCACATACCCTGCATTGACAGCTAGCCCTAATTCGCTGCTAAGTATACAAATGTGGCGAAAAATACAAAAATATAGCATATTTTTTATACTTCGCCGCGAATTCGCTCTAATTGGGAATGTAGGGTTACTGATAACGAGTAATTAAAATTTTTTTAAACAGTCTGCACATATCGAATTTTTGATTGACGGTCGACTTTTCATTTAGCTCATGACTTAATAATATATATTTTTTCAATAACCTGACCAGATCTCCTGAAGTATTAACTTTTTACTTACACAGAAATGTTATACCAAGGTAAAAAAATTACGATGTATGATATTTTTCAATCTAAATCTGTAATTTCTCTAATTGTTAAAGGAGAGCTCTGGGACCGGGAGAGGGTGGAGGTTAATTTTTTTTATAAATTCTGTCACTTCTTATGGGGGTTTTTTCTCCAGGGGTGGGGGGTATTTTGCTTCCTAGACACTTAGTAAAATATATAAGGTCACTGCTGATAGACTATTTTATTTTGTCACATATGATATAAGTATTTTGTTTTTATTATTTTAATATTAAAAAAATAGTTGAAATTCCCAAATATAATTAACTTGCAATCTATAAAATTTTAGTTCAGTTTTGTAAAATCTCACACTCCTAAAAATAAATTATAATGTGAGGTGTAAGTTCTTGTTCCCCCTCTATCTCCCCTCAAATTTGCCAATTTGTTTGAATATCATTTTAATATAATAACTTCTAAACACCATTTTTTTATAATTATTCAAAATAATGACTATGATTGAAATTTTTGAAAAAGAAAGTAAATAAAACAAATTAAAAATATAATCTGCCCAAAGTCTTCCAATGGAGGGAGGGGGACTAATACTATCCAATAAAATATAGGGGCGAAAAAATCACTCAAAGCTCCCCATCCCATTCCTTCCAAATCCTGGATATGCCTATGTTAATGTGAATTTTTTTTATTTTTAAGCACGAAGAACATGATATTTTGATAAAATTATTTAATTTTAATGATATAAATCAATTTACTTATTTTTTACGAAAAACTTTGCTTAGCTGCTGCTTTTAAGTATCTTTACTTACCATTTAAATCTTCATAAGTGGTTACGTC